ACTGATTAACCTGATGCTAAATATAGATCCACGTTGATCCAATGACAGAAGCCTCAGAACTACACTGGTTAATCTTTCAATTAGGTTTGCCTATGAGCATCAAGTTATTCATGTTGAGATATACTTCTTTGAACGTATTGGTATAGACTTTTCACTGTCTCCCCTGTTATTCGAATGAATTTAAGAACTGATTACTTCGGTTTCGAGGGAGCTCCTGTTAGCAACGATGAAGCATTATCAGGGCGGGTGACAAGAGAAAGGTGTGTGTGTGTGTGTGTGTGAGTGTGTGTGTGTGCTCAATCGTTGAGCACGTGAGGGAATAAGTCAGAGATTTGAGCATTTACAATTAACAACATCGTCAGTGCATTTGAGGTCGAAGTACTTCTACGCCCGTTCTCACTAATGAGGTGCAAATGGGTAAGCGTCGTAAGTAAAAAATCAACTACACAAAATCTATGCAAAAACATTTTATTTAGACAGTTTGGTATATGGTCTATTACATATCACTTTTTCAGCCACACCATTTTACAAATAACCATACAGCTTTTATCTAAATGTGGCACCTTGAATTATAAAATATTATCACCTGATACGTACGTGACTAGTTCTTCTGACTAGAGAATTAAGTGACAATGTGATAAATTATTTGAGTAACCTATCAAATATTCCGCATGAGTTTGGCGATTTAGTAACACACATGTCTGCTCAAAAACTTTAGAAGTACTTTGACATACACTAAGTAAATCATTATTACTCAGATTGTTTTTTCAAAAATACCAACAAATTGCAAAAACATTCTAAAATCAAACCTGATAACTAGATTTGCCGACAATCTGAGGGCTTAGTAAACCAAAAAAGGAGTAGCAAAATATTTGATCGATAGCCAGTTGCAACAACATAAAACTCATGCAAATTACCAGTCACTTTTTGCAGTACAAACAGTAACGTATGTAGCCCAAGTTTGAATTGTGTCAAATAAGACTTTTATTATGAAGAATAATACCTTTTCTTACCTAAAACATTGATTAAAACACATCAGCATCGTTTTCTTCAGGATTACAAGATTCTATCGTTTCTTCCTTTACAGTTTTAAGTACTACATAAAGACAATATCAGGGTAATCAATATTAATCAACATAAATTTGGCAAAAAAAGAACATAACAAGACTGTATTCTCGATCGTTCTTTCTCAAGGAAGGCGGGTCCTTTTGCTTTCCGAATTTACCGATATTCTGTCTGAATTTCTGCTCTACGTTTCCCCACTTGAAATAAGAAACAAATGAGTAACGTATGTATAATACATTTCGATACATACGTTACCCTATAATTATGCTCTTTTCACATAACAAAGACCCAGGACTAATCCAAATGTTATTACAAATATATAAACTCTGTCTGATAAGCTACTAAAGTACCTTTCATTTGTACATCAATCCTTCCATCCCATTAAACAATCAAATATTCATATCAATTTTCATATCATTCAGAGAGGTGACCATCTATTTCCCAACACATAGCTCATTATGTGAAAATAAAAGGACATTAAATAACACTGATTGCCAGTTTAAGTCTGAATGTTTTTAAGAAAACAAAGTTTCTGGCTTCAAATGATATGACATTTACGTTTGAAACCTTCAACAAATGTTGTTACCTACGTTACCGTTGATAACGTATGTATTAGTTACTTTAGCATGCCTTGATCGAGAACTGGACCACCAAATTATGCCCTTAGCATCGCTTTCCTGTTTTTATATGATGGTAGTTAAAACACACAATGACAATTTGAAAGAATTACACTTTGTAACATGTTTAGCATAACGTCTTTAATTATGCATGGTATCACCTGCATTTTAAACAACATTACCGCATAAAACTGACGTGGTTTCTCTCTCAAAATGTGTCTGCTGTTCGATGACTGTCGCCACATGAAATAGGTATAGCCAAAACCTAAGCATATTGTTTCGAACACTTAATTCCGTACTTTCTAGTAACGTATGTAACGGTTACGTATGTATATTTTCAATGGTTTTCATTTTCATTTTTGCAAATCTATACACCCTACTGATCGTGATATGAGCTGTTTTACAATGCTAGAAATGTGTGTTGTTGGTATAATGTTTTGCATGAAGTGTTATAAAAATTGAAGTAATTATTGGCATCATAACGTATGTATTGCTTGATTTCTACGCATCTTGTTTGTGGTGTTGAAAAGTATTTTTTTCCAATACTGAACTATACTTATAGTTAAAACCTGTCGTAATTGAATTGGTAAATGTTTTGAGTATAAATAATTGATACTGTACTTCACTTAAGCCAGAAAGGTACGCAGCTACATTGTCATCCAGAAAAACACAACGTATGTATCCCAAGTTTGGCGACAACATTTCAACACTCTATAACTATTCCGATTTGGGTGGTTTGCCTTCTTATTCTCATTTAAATGCAGCGTAATAAGTACATTGTTCAGTAAATATTCAATCTGAAACCAAACTGCAAAATCAAAATGACAGTATTAACTTAAGTGAATCGTCTCCGACATGGCGACAGTAACGTACGTATCGTTTTGCCAACTTTGACTTTTCCTGCATTGCCAATATAAGGACAGATGACCCGAAACAGTGTTTATTGGCTAGGGCGAGTATAAGACTTTGTGAATAATGCAAATACTGAGCACAATATTTGTTGGATTATGAACAAATGGCTGGCGACATCAATTGCACCTCATTAGTGAGAATGGGTGTCTAATGTGTGACTTGCCAGGACATTCCACCATGGAAGGTTAAACATACTCCTGTGAATGCATGTGGCATTCCCTGCTTGCAAACACGTTGGACCGTTATGTGAGCATCAGGTTATTCACGTTGAGATATACGTCTGTGAATGTGTTATACACTTTTCACTGTGTCCCCTGTTATTTAACTGACTTTAATAACCCAGACTAGTGAGTTTAATTGGGAGCTTCTTTTAACAATATTCCAGCAATATCAGAGCGAACATGGGTACAGTCACAGAGTTTAACAGAGTTTAACATTTATGAAGATGTACAAGTTTTCAGTACATTTGCCGGGACACCCACTTAAAAGGTGGGACTTGTCAGGACATTCCGTCAAGGTAGATTAATAAACTGCTGAAAATAAACTCAGCTATATCAGGGACAGTATACTCCAAGCTGCTCAAGCGGGTCTCGTGAATGACTCGACAGTGGCTGGTTATTCTTGTATGGTAAACACGCACGCGATAGATCCACCCGCGATGCTATAAATATATAGTTTACGTCACTGTAGCGTACAGCGCATTAATCCTCGAGACGTTTTTTGAGTGATCGTTTACCGTAACGGACATCTGATTGATAACGTTTTCTAATGGAAACATACCTCGCCGTCATTAGCAAGTGTTTGTTTACAAATATAATATCAATATAAAAACATACTTATGTGGCACATAGTGAGTGACTGAATATGGTTTTGCGCCGCTTTTATCAATATGTTCCAGCAATATAACGGCACATCTAAGTAATAAGGTTCTATGGAACATATCATGCAGTTATTAGCAAAATATAATTCAAAGTATCATTACAAAGGCACACGTTTGTGGTCTATAATGAGTGAGTGAATATGGTTTATAGTAATATTCCAGCAATATCAAGGCGGTTAGCACGAGAAATGAGCTTCACAGATACTACCTATGTGGGGAATCGAACCCGGGTCTTCGGCTTGACGAACGCTTTAAGCAGTACGATAACCTACCTCCATATTATATAAGCGTTTTTATAGATATATATTAACAGAACCAAAGACATGTACCCTTATCACTTGTCATCCTACATATCCCCTTGAGTGAGTGAGTGAGTGAGTGAGGGAGTGAGTGAAATTTGAATCACGTCGGCAGTATTTAAACCATATCGTGACTTGATTTTAAACAATACATTTCCAACTAAAACCTGTCAACAAAAGACAGGTATATGATAACATCCTCTTGACGGTAGCCATACCCCCTGTGTTACTGAATATACCAGGACGAAAGTAAAATAACACTCTGCCATGGTTAAATCCTCTTGAAGGTAACCATGCCCCCTGTATTACTGAATATACCAGGACGAAAGTAAAATAACACTCTGCCATGGTTAAATCCTCTTGAAGGTAGCCATGACCCCTGTGTTACTGAATATACCAGGACGAAAGTAAAATAACACTCTGCCATGGTTAAATCCTCTCAGGACTGTTCATAGTGTTCATGACTGTTGCCAACTGGGTTTTATTTCTCTTAAAACAACCCCAAGCAACGTTTGAGTTTTGAAACGCGCTTGGATGCTTATACCAAAATACGGTCAGTGAAGTGGTGTACTCACTCGACAATGACCTTGCTTTCATTGTGCGGTTTAAACATAAAAAAACGTGCACTCGCGTAGCCCTCTCTACAATATCTTGTTACCAGTTTCTACTAGTAAAGATTAACTCTGACACTTGTGTAAAGTCACGTGGCAGGCATATCATGTGACTTGTATTTCAACGCTGCACTACTTGTGACATGCAACTGACTAGGAAGATTAACCACCTCTATGACACTGAATCTCTGGTCGTGAATAAACATACATATAAGTTTGGGTACGGATTGTAATCCCTGAACATGTCATCACGGTTTAATATTCGGGATAACAGTCTACACACACACACACGCACATTCACTAACACACACAGACAGACATACACAAACTAACATACACACAGACAGACACACACCCATTAACACTAACACACACTCTAACACACACCAACACACCTAACACACTAACACATACACACACGCTTGGTGAGATTAACCATCATATTCGACACTAAGTGTCCTATTGTGAATGAATACAGATGTGATACATATCAATTAGGTCATACAGACAGTTATCCCTCCTTTCAAAATTCCTAGATCCGCCCATGGCTAGTGTAGAATAAACATGGTAGCACTCAGTAAACAATGGACGGAGTAGTGGTGTAGTTGTTACCTACCTACAGTTGCCCAGAATAACAAACACACAGATATATCCTCCTTGTATGATCACAGTCGCTGTCCGAGGTGTACCCGACTATGTAGCGTCTGGTGTTCTGTAGCAAGGTTTCAACGTAGACGCTTTATGTACTACCCGGAAGTCATATCACTGCTGGTTAACCTGATACTTAAATAGATCCACGCTGGACCAATGAGATACGTCTCACAACTCTGGTTAATCTTCCACTCCGGTTTGCCTATGGGCATGAAGTTACTCATGTTTAGATATAGTTTGGGGAAAATCTATTTTTCAGACGCTGTTGGGGAGTAAATATGTATACATATATACTAACGGAAAAAAGTAACTGTGCATAACATAAAGTTGTAAGAAACAAAAGTTACATGAAAAGTTGTAAAAATAACCTAAATTACAAAGTAGTATTTGCATGAAAGTTGATATGACGTTTCGGCTGATCCATCTAAGGAATCAGTTCCAGAATGTCAGTTTGACTGATCGGACCATTCCTGGCTTACGTCCAAACAGTTCCAGGACTGCACGAAACCGACTGAGGGCACTCAATATCCGGCCCTGACACTCAGTAATACGCCCAATTCTACTGCAATGTCACCGACACCTCTTGCCTGGTACAGACAGTATCTATGACAAGATTGGGATGATAGTTTTGTTCACTGACGAGTCGAGATTTCATATGGACAGCTCAGATGGCAGGGCAAGGGTGTACAAACGGCGAGGGGAACGGTATGCTGACTTTGCTCAACGTCGACAACTCCTCTTGCTTTCTTTAATCACTTAGTGTCGTCTATGCGTCGTCCTTGTCAAGCCTGCATCAACGCCAATGGTGGACACACAAAATACTGAATTTGTGAATTGACTTTTGACAGCACATGTCGTCAAGGGCGTATCACGATGCTTAGAGTCAAATCATACAGATTTCGATACTATTCTGTCAACGATTAAACAGTGATTAAGGAAAACACCACAAATCATGTTATTATTTTTTTGCATTAAAAATGGTTTAACATCAAATACCGCACAGTTACTTTTTCCATCAGTATACTACCCGCTGCTGGTTAAACCGATGCTAAAAATAGATCCACGTTCAATAACCGTTGACTAAAAATGTCCCTGTAAACACCAAGTTACTCAGGCTCTGCCGATGTCTGATCTTCAGATATATTTTACTTAAATCAGAATTTTTCTACGTATCTTCCAGTGCGTTTATATGTACATGTATGTGTGAATTCCCTTTTTCTAACAATTTTCCCCGGCTGAGTTCTGTCATACACGACAAAATCGTAAAAGCGTCCAGTCCCACAGTTGTTCATTCTCAACTGCAAAAAAACCTGACTGGGCATTCTGTGGCGGCAGATTAATTGTGTTGCGATTGAGAGATTCACGTTGGTGAGCTCCTAGCGATGGTGAACCTTTGTGTCATGTCCTTCTTACAAACTGTACCCCAGGGTAATATGTTGATCACGAGTCACGACAGTTACACCTGAGTCAAACCAATACTTTAGTTACAGGTATAAACATACGTAACTGGTTGATGTTGCAGGACATTACAAGGTGATACTTGGTTCTCTGTGTGGCCCTGGGCCCCGTGATACTGCAGGACATTACAAGGTGATACTTGGTTCCCTGTGTGGTCCTGGGCCCCGTGATACTGCAGGACATTACAAGGTGATACCAGGGTGGTAATTGGTTCTCTGTGTGGTCCTTGGTCCCTGATATTTCAGGACATTACAAGGTGGTATTTGATTCCCTGTGTGGTCATGGCCCCGTGAAACTGCAGGACATTACAAGGTGATACTTGGTTCCCTGTGTGGTCTTGGGCCCCGTGATACTGCAGGGCATTACAAGGTGATACTTGGTTCTCTGTGTGGCTCTAGACCCCGTGAAACTGCAGGACATTACACGGTGGTAATTGGTTCTCTGTGTGGTGCTGGGTCCCGTGATACTGCAGGACATTACAAGGTGGTACTTGGTTCTCTGTGTGGTCCTGGGCCCCTGATATTGCAGAACATTACAAGGTGGTACTTGGTTCCCTGTGTGGCCATGGAATCAAGGTGTCCTTGGTCCCTGATATTGCAGGACATTACAAGGTGGTATTTGGTTCCCTGTGTGGTCATGGCCCCGTGAAACTGCAGGACATTACAAGGTGATACTTGGTTCCCTGTGTGGTGCTGGGTCCCGTGATACTGCAGGACATTACAAGGTGATACTTGGTTCTCTGTGTGGTCCTGGGCCCCGAGCTACTGCAGGGCATTACAAGGTGGTATTTGGTTCTCTGTGTGGTCCTGGGCCCGTGATGCTGCAGGACATTACAAGGTGATACTTGGTTCTCTGTGTTATCCTGGCCCGTGATACTGCAGGACATTACAAGGTGGTATTTGGTTCTCTGTGTGGTCCTGGGCCCGTGATACTGCAAGACATTACAAGGTGATACTTGATTCTCTGTGTGGCTCTGGACCCCGTAATACTGCAGGACATTACAAGGTGGTACTTGGTTCTCTGTGTGGTCCTGGGCCCCTGATATTGCAGAACATTACAAGGTGGTACTTGGTTCCCTGTGTGGTCATGGAACCGTGATACTGCAGGACATTACAAGGTGATACTTGATTCTCTGTGTGGCTCTGGACCCCGTGATATTGCAGGACATTACAAGGTGGTATTTGGTTCTCTGTGTGGTCCTGGGTCACGTGATACTGCAGGACATTACCAGGTGATACTTGATTCTCTGTGTGGCTCTGGACCCCGTGAAACTGCAGGATATTACAAGGTGGTACTTGGTTCACTGTGTGGTCCTGGGCCCCGAGATACTGCAGGACATTACAAGGTGATACTTGATTCTCTGTGTGGCTCTGGACCCCGTGAAACTGCAGGACATTACAAGGTGGTATTTGGTTCTCTGTGTGGTCATGGGTCACGTGATACTGCAGGACATTACAAGGTGATACTTGATTCTCTGTGTGGCTCTGGACCCCGTGAAACTGCAGGACATTACACGGTGGTATTTGGTTCTCTGTGTGGTCCTGGGTCACGTGATACTGCAGGACATTACAAGGTGATACTTGATTCTCTGTGTGGCGCTGGACCCCGTGAAACTGCAGGACATTACAAGTCGGTATTTGGTTCTCTGTGTGGTCCTGGGCCCGTGATACTGCAGGGCATTACAAGGTGATACTTGGTTCTCTGTGTGGCTCTAGACCCCGTGAAACTGCAGGACATTACACGGTGGTATTTGGTTCTCTGTGTGGTCCTGGGCCCCTGATATTGCAGAACATTACAATGTGGTACTTGGTTCCCTGTGTGGCCATGGAATCAAGGTGTCCTTGGTCCCTGATATTTCGGGACATTACAAGGTGGTATTTGGTTCCCTGTGTGGTCATGGCCCCGTGAAACTGCAGGACATTACAAGGTGGTACTTGGTTCTCTGTGAGGCCCTGGGCCTCGTGATACTGCAGGACATTACAAGGTGATACTTGGTTTTCTGTGTGGTCCTGGGCCCCTTGATACTGCATGACATGACAAGGTGGTACTTGGTTATCTGTGTTATCCTGGGCCCCGTGATACTGCAGGACATTACAAGGTGGTACATGGGAGGGGGCGAAATCAGAAGTGGTCGCGGTGTAGACGGTATAATGTGTCAGGTATCCCTGTTAAACAGCTGCATGGCATCTCATTGTGGTACCCAAATATAAACAACAGGAGTTTGGACAGACAAAGAGACGAAAACATAAACACAGACACAGAACAGGGAAACACACACAGACACAGACACACTCGGACACACACAGTACTACGTATAATGTATTGTCGGCTGGTGCGGTATGTTGGGTGCAATGTGTTTGTGATGGGTGTGGTTACTTTGACGTTTAGCCACATCTTGTGTCTGTGTGTACGATTAACTAAACAATACTTACAGTGGGGGCAGTGTAGTGTCCTATCAATGCAGATATCCTCAACTCCCTATTGTTGTGGTGGACCCTAAGAGACCCGTGGCTACAGGCCATTCGTGGTTTTGGTCTAGATTCTGTGTTTGTGATCCACAAACGTTAAAGTTAAAGTTTAACCTAAGCTACTGGGGATTGTATTCCACATCAACAATGGAGACACCACAACTCTGGCTCGGCTTTTTCAATAACTCGACCACGGCTGGTTAAGCTTGTACTATAAATACACCCACGTGAGTGGGTTAAAGCACGATACTTTAAACAGCTCGCGTCACTCTACTATTCAGCGGATTAATCCTCCAGTCGTTTCATCGTCGATTATTTCCCCTAGCGGACATCCTAATAATAATGTTTCTGTGGAAACAAATGCATTAGACTCAATAGAAGAGTAGAACTAAAAATGCTGCTCGGAGCTTATTCCATTTACATTGTACCTATCTGTATTTTATATATTGACGGCAAGGCACTTTTTCTAAACATATTCTGTGGCAATATGTGTTGAGTATTTCGCTAGGTTTTACTCCTGTGTCATAACATGTTGGAATTGTGATCAGTCCTATGGCAATATGTGTTGAGTATTGCGCTAGGTTTCACTCCTGTGTCTCAGCATGTTGGAATTGTGATCAGTCCTGTGGCAATATGTGTTGAGTATTACCCTAGGTTTTACTCCTGTGTCTTAGCATGTTGGAATTGTGATCAGTCCTGTGGCAATATGTGTTGAGTATTACCCTAGGTTTTACTCCTGTGTCTCAGCATGTTGGAATTGTGATCAGTCCTGTGGCAATATGTGTTGAGTATTTCGCTAGGTTTTACTCCTGTGTCTTAGCATGTTGGAATTGTGATCAGTCCTGTGGCAATATGTGTTGAGTATTACCCTAGGTTTTACTCCTGTGTCTCAGTATGTTGGAATTGTGATCAGTCCTATGGCAATATGTGTTGAGTATTACCCTAGGTTTTACTCCTGTGTCTCAGCATGTTGGAATTGTGATCAGTCCTGTGGCAATATGTGTTGAGTATTACCCTAGGTTTTACTCCTGTGTCTCAGCATGTTGGAATTGTGATCAGTCCTGTGGCAATATGTGTTGAGTATTACCCTAGGTTTTACTCCTGTGTCTCAGTATGTTGGAATTGTGATCAGTCCTATGGCAATATGTGTTGAGTATTACCCTAGGTTTTAC